GCATCCCATAATACCATCCAAGCTAAGCACCCCTTTTTGGTCATCTTAATCATAGTCTATATGCATAGTCAAGACCTAGGCTTCATGTACTAAGAGCACTATACTTTAAGTAACCTCAAGCACACTTGTGCAATGCATGAAGGACATCCCATATACCATTCACACTAAGCATAACCTTGAAGTCACCATATGCATACTTACCACTCATTGGTCTCATTCTTAGCTTACTTCATAACCAAGGAAATCTCTCACCTTTACACTACAAGAAAATGGTGAATTACATGAGGATTTTCCTGGGGATTAATATGAAAATTTGCAGGAAAATAACTTACCTGCGGATTTTCATACTAATCCCTAGGAAAATCCTCATGGAATTCACACTTTTCCTGTAGTGTTTAGTCAATCATAACATAACAAGGAAGGCAACTATAGAACAATCCTATCTAAGCATACATCATATAAGAGAAAACACTTCATGAGTCACCTTAAGTCAAGCTTGTGCCATGCATGAATAAGACCCCATAATCCTACCAATGATAAGCTAGACACTTTAGGTTCATCATTATTTATCATCTCTTAACATTATAAAGACAAGGGGAATCACCTCTTAGTCATGCATGTACTGGAGGGGCCTATAAAGCTACAATCCAAACTAGTCATGCTCATGTTCATAAATGCAAGGGGGAGTCACCGCAAGGCATACATGTTTAGTTCATTATGAAGGACAAAGGGATCGGAGTCACCTCAAGCCACACATATCATGGAATCATAAAGACAAGGGTATTCACCTCTAGTCATACATACTAATGAATTATAAAGACAAGGAGAGTCACCTCTAGCAATACATATTAATGAGTCATAGGTATTCGCCTACATGTTCATTTTAATGGGATATATGTATTTGCCTCTACATCATCACATAAGGATCATAAGTAATCGCCTCCATGATCAACCTAAGGCTAATGGGTAATCACCGCTTGCCTTGGGAGTCATAAATATATAAGGGGTAATCACCTCACACTCCCCATGCTTAACTAATTAGGAATAAGGGAACTCACCTCACATTCCTATCATGTAAAGTTCTTTTAGGGGAATCACCACAAGCCTCATCACATCTCATAGTCCTAGGACATATATTCATTTTAGGTGAAAATAGACTTTCAACCTAGAATCACTCTATGTGAGAGAACCTTTCATGTCATATCATATCCATGCATAATACCATATCTAGAATTCTACGTTAGACATGGATATCATCATGACTTAAGTGATTCTATCACTTCATACATTCAAGCATTCATAAGGTAGATTAGGTAGGTAAAGGTCTTCCACCATAACTCTATCCATTAAGCTTCTATTCTCAAATAGACTTTACTCTCAAAGCCTTAACATGCCTAGTTCATCAATTTGGTTTTACTCTCAAGACCCTAATGATCAACATTCATGCCTACAAGTCTTACACTTAAAGCGTTACTTCTTACTATGATCATTCATACCTAAATTTCAAGGTATTCTAATCACATTCTTCATTATCAAGTGATTCTAGTCACGATTCATCATAAAGGTTCATCTTCAACTTTACTAGTCAAGATCCATCATATTCACATTATTCTAATTCAATTCATGTCTATTTGTTTGTATTCTTAATCAATTACTACTCATAGCACTAATTCTAGAAGATCACTCAAGAATCATCAAGTTCACCTTTCATGGTATAAACCCACATAATACCAAATTCATCAATTAGGCTACCCACAATGTAGGAAGAAACCCTAGCTAGATCTTCTTCTTCTTCTATGGAGTTTTAGAGAGAATTATTTGGGGGAGAGTTAGTTATGATTTTTGGGTTAGGGATTTATGAAGTGTTAAGGGTTAGTTAATAGCTTAATAACCCTTATATAAGTCTACTAAAACAATATAAACCGACCCTACAATAAACTAACTAAAATAGAACTTACCTAAACTAACTCACCTTTAGCCAAGCTTGAGGCAGATTGCAGGCCATGACTCACGCCCATGACCTACGGTCTGTAGGTTGGCCTACTGGCCGTCCTGCAGGTCCGTAGGTCCATGGCCTGCAACTCATTTTCCAGGCCTTGACCCACGAGCTAGAGCTACGGGGCGTGGATGGACCTACGCCCAGTAGGTCCCATCCGTAGGTCACAAATTTTTGGCAGCTTGGGCAGTTTTGGGGAGTCTTGGGGGTTAGGCTTTAGGGTCCTCCTCAAGGACCCTTGGTTGGTCCTTGGGGGGTCATACCTTGACGTTTAACCCCTAAACCTAAGTTCGGGAAACCATTTTACAACATTAAATCACACATCAAACTCTAAAACTCTCACGTAAGGCTCTAGTTTCACCTACTAGTTTTCCGGGTGTTACACCTATTCTCAGTTACATCACTTTACGCGATGTATCGGGATGTATTCTAAATCGAGACAAGATGTATTGGGACGTTGAAGATGTATCCTAAACTGGGACGCGATGTATCGAGACGTTGAGGGATGTACCCAAAACCGGGACGCTTAATGCGATGTATCTAGATGTTTTGGGATTTCCGGATTATACCAAATTTAAGGAATTTTTGTAATTTGAAAAAAGAATATGAATATGATGTAAATAGGTCTTAACACTATGAGATTCGTGTAAAATTCACTTTTTAAAAAAATCTTGCACTCCTATTTTTCTGGTTACTTGTCATTCTCTTAAATTAATTTTTTAAAATAAATTAGAAGTTCTTTTTTCTTTTTGGTTAAGCACCACTCTGAAATCCTTTTTTTTTTCAAGAACACTGACGAAAACTTCATTAAGCAAAAAAAAAAAAAAACGTAAGTTATTCAAACACGTTTTAACGTGTGCAAGATGCATGACAGACTCAAAACGTTTGCTGAGTAGGCCAAAATATATACGTCAACGTTCAAATCATAAAATTGAGTTATACTTTGAACGTCCTAAAATAAGTGTCATTTTAATAAAAATTATGTCTATTTAGAAATTAATAAATATAATATGTAGTTTATTAAGCTATGCCTATATAATAAATGTTTTTTAAAATTGAACACTACTCTCTTTATTCTATATTTATTGAATTTGTAAGGTAATCCACACATTTTAAGAAAAAAATCATAATTTAAATCATAATTTTCACTATTACCCTTTGTGAAATTATAAATATAAGTTTGTAAGTAGTGTAATTTATCTCCTAAAAAATATTTAACTTTAATAAATGAAAGGGCAAGTTATGAAAAAAATTCAAACATTCATTTTGAACTTTGAATAATTCAATCATTTTGAACAATGAAATAAACCTCAACAATTCTCCAAATTTGGAGAACTACTATTTACATCTCTATAAATGAAGAATAGAGAGTAATATGGAGGTGGATTGGAGAGGACATTCTCTATTTTACGCTCCAAATGATTTATCTATAGTATAAAATTATACTCGTAGAACTTTTTTAACACCTACAATAGCCAAAACTAGCTCCAAAGCAGTGGTTTAGCCGCATTACTACATCAAAAATAGTTTTTAGCGGCAATAATATGTACATTAACAAAGAGTATTAAAACATTTACCAGCATTAACTAATTGTCATTTGATCCAATGTTATTATAGGCTTTAGGGACAACTAATTACTTCTAAAAGAACATTACATATTTAGCAGCAATTAAATTACTACCCCAAATTAATTATCGCTAAAAATCATTTTTAATATAGTACATAAAGCTAATAATGATCAATTGAATACTGTTTATCGAAAAAATTAATAATACTGAATATAAAGAAATTATGCTACATATATAAGTGAACATTTATTTTTTTATGCGCACGCGCACATTTATATATATATATTAAACTTTCAACCCTCTTAAGTCATTTAAAGGTGGGTTAGCCAAAAAAAGGTATGGAACCAAGGCACATGGTAGGATGGGTTTTTGCATGCAAAAATGTGACCCACAAGTGTAGGTAAAAGATCAAAGGAGGAGCTAATATTGTTAATGATGAAAAGGGGTTTGATTGGTAAATCATGGAAGATCATCTCTCATGCAAATTACATAAAAGTGCAATAGAGATAATTAGGAAAGCCTTAAATCAAACAACATATATAATATATATTTTGGGCGATCTATATTCACATTAAAATTTGACTATTCTGAATCCGTACTACATAGGGCCTAGCTCATTCGGAGAGAAGCGCTCCCTATTAAAAAAAAATTCATATCCAAAACTCAAACTCAAAACCTCTAAATTTTAATTAAGGAAAAAACAATCTCGTTCGTAATATCATATCTTTGGTGGTATATTCTTTGCAACTCTCTACAAGCAAAGTCCATTTAAAACATCTTTCCACAACTAATGTATTAAAAGGTGAAAAACCTAACTTTGTTTTATTCTAATATAAAAATAGTTCTTTTCTTCTTCTTCTTCTTCACTTAATTAGTCATATTTTCACACCGAATTTTTCAACGAATTTGGTGAAAGATAAAAGACTAAAGTTGTATTCTTCACAAAAGAATATCACAAATTTGTTTTTTTTTAAATGATAAACAACCACTATTACTATCACAAAACACATCAAAAGTAATAAATGAAACGAATCCCACATTGATGAAAAACAAAAAACTTGAACTCGTTATAATGCTTGGACAATCCTCACCTGATTCAATTTGACAAATAGAAAAAGGACCCAAAGCCTAAATTGCGGAGTTGATCACCTGCTACAAAACAACTATGTCTATGTGCCTATGTGTGTTTGCTTATAGCCTTATAGAGATAAATCTAAAATTTAAAGCGAAAATAAATGTAAAGATCATGATCTTATATTTGCACAAAAAAAATATACATATTTTGAAATGAAAATAATGAATTCAATTGAATAGAATAAAATTATATATCTTAGATCCACACTTTACCTGTGAGAGAGGACAATGGGGATCATCAACTTCAAACTATAGGCAAACTGGCTGCATAATATGTAGATTGAAACAAAAACTTGAGTTGGGAGGAATGAAGCCTGGTCCGAAATCATTCAATTCATTGATCATCGAGATGGACTTTAATTTGTTGAATGATTTCGAACCAAACAACATTCCCCTCAACAAATGTTTTCTTTCTTTGGAAGAAGAATGACCGGGGGGGGGGGGGGGGGGGGGGCGTTTATTATAATACATTT